ACACACACACACACACACACACACACACACACACACACACACACACATGCTTGCGGTCAGGCCGGGCTGTGATGATCCGCTCAGCACTGACAGGAGGATCTCAGAGCTGACTACGGTGGCCCCTGAGGCTCAAACTGAACTTTTTATGTGTGATGTGAGACACCTCGAGTCTCGAGCTCTCTTCTTTTCTTTCTCTCGTCTCTCGATAGCTCACAAACGCTAATTTCTTCATATTCGTCACAAACGTCCACCTTGACTCGAGGATGAACTGATTAAAATGTGGTGGTCAAAGATCACTGTGACCTCACAACATGAGGAAGTGATGACATTTTACACAGACATGGATGTCAACTGCAACTTGACCGGTTGGCTGAGACGAACAACCTTGAGGCGTTATTCTTTCAGTCTCTGCTCCTCCTTACTTCCTCCGATCTCTTGTCTCCATTTATTTTCTTGTCTCCCTCACTCTTCTCTTCCTCCCTCCATCCCCCCTTTTCTCCCTCCTCTTTCTGTAGCACTCTTCTTTCTTTCTTCTTCTCCCCTTCCTCCCTGTGTATTTCTTTCTCTCTCACTCTTTCACTCAGCTGTTTCCCCCTTTCTGTCTCTTTTTTCCTCCATTTTTGTCCACCTCCTTCTCTCTCTCTCTCTATCTCTCTCTCTATCTCTCTCTCCCTCCCCTGATACTGCCTAGTCATTCTGCAGCACGGCGTCAGAAAGAGCTGCACAGACGGGGATGAAAAATGGAAAAGCTCAGCAGTCCTCGGCCTTATCCTCCTCCTCTCTTCCTCTCCCACTCCTCCCCCGCTCTCACTCTTTCATCTCTTCTCTCGTCCTCTCTTCGTCTCCTTGCCTCTTCCTCCCACACAAAAGCAAATCGTCTGTCCTTTCGTTTCCTACCACACAGTCACGATATCATCTGCTCCTCTGTTGCATCTCAGTCACATCTTTTCGCATTACTTTCTTCATCCCTCACTCAAGGGAGTGAGAATGAAAGAAAGGAGCAAGGAAGGAAGGGAGTGAGA